ATTTGGGTCATGACATAGAGATCACTTTTTTTTGAACTTTGGAAGAGAGATCACATTTTTTGTTTGAACTTTGGAAGAGAGATCACATTCGGTACCCTGACAGCTCCTATAAAGGCGCCCTCTGAGCTAACTGGCGCTCACGCGCGGAAGCTCATGGGCTGGCCCAGCTGTGTTTTGGTTAAAAGCATGGCTGGTAGGCCTACAACCGCACCAGACCGAGGTGGAGCTAGCCCCTTGTGTTGAGGGGCTCAAGGCTTAAATTGACAATACATCTATATCTATAATCTATAACAATATAAAAAGACCCAAAGGGGCAGATCCAAATCATCTCGACCGCCAAATCATGTTATCTAGCGGTTCAAATCGCTCCAATGTTGAGCACCAAACATGTTTAATGCTCTAATTACCCATCACTGCCATTGATTATAAACACATTTTGACTCAACGCTATCCCATGAAATCTGCCATGTAATTAATATCCTACCATTCCTGCGAAAAAACTAATTGATATCTTACCAAATATCAATGTGCAACAGATATATCTTACCTAATATAACGTGCAACTAGTACTCTACCTAATATAAACGTGCATTGCACGTACATTATTACTAGTTGCTCCCAGAAGCCTATCATGGTGGAAACAGTCTGTGTTGAACTTGCTATCTCAATGATGGCTGGCCCGGCGGATCGCTCTAGCGACATGTATGTGGTTACAGCTCCGACGATGAACCACCTTTTATTTGCTGATGACAGCCTGTTGATTTTTAAGTCAAGTCATGATGGGGCAGTTGAAGTATCAAACCTACTGGCAATTAATTGTTTGGCATCAGGACAAAGGATAAACCATGACAAGTCCTCAATCTTTTTCAACAGAGGATGCCCTCAGACGGTACGTGATAGCGTCAAGGATGTATTTCATGTTCAAAATGAATCTCTGAGTGACAGATACCTGGGCATGCCAACTGATGTGGGCCACTCAAAAAACGGTACTTCCATATACTTGAGAGACCGAGTTTGGGAGAAGGTGAGGGGATGGATGGAGAAACTATTATCTGCTGTAGGCAAGGAAGTGTTGATCAAGTCAGTACCGCAGGCAATACCTGGATATTCAATGGCATGTTTTCGTCTACCTCGAGGTCTGTACGAGAATGTCACTTCTCTGATTAGACAGTTTTGGTGGGGTAGCAAGTAGGGGAAGCAGAAGCCTTGTTGGGTCTCTTAGGATATGATGACGAAGCCCAAACACTTGGGAGGTCTCGGTTTTCAGGATCTCGAGATTTTTAATCTTGCTCTCTTAGCCAGGCAGGCTTGGCGGATGCTTCATAACCCTACAACTCTCAGCTCTCGAATCCTTAAGGCAGTATATTACCCGGAAACATCTCTCTTTGAGGCTGGATTGGGGTCGCACCCCTCTCAGATTTGGCAAGCGGTTTTGGATGGGAGAGACATGATGGTGCAGGGACTAATCAGGAGAATAGGAGATGGCGAGTCCACAAATATTTGGAATGATAACTGGATTCCTAGGGATAATATAAAGAGGCCGATTACATCATTAATATACCCCAACCGTCCACAAATATTTGGAATGATAACTGGATTCCTAGGGATAATATAAAAAGGCCGATTACATCATTAATACCCCAACCACCTAGGAAAGTGTCTGACCTCATTGATCATACATCTTTTACGTGGAATGCGCAGCTGGTCCGGACCGTATTCATACCGATTGATGCCGAGGCAATCCTGAAAATTCCCCTATGTACAAGGCAGACCGCAGATTTCTGGGCGTGGAATGAAGAGAGAAGGGGTGTCTTTTCTGTCCGCAGTGCATACAGAATGATTCAAACTATGAAACTGAACAGAGAAGCATGGCTGGATGAACAAGAGGGATCATCTCATGTAGGAACGGACAGTTTGGGATGGACAGATTTATGGAGAATTAAGGTTCCTTCGAAGTTGAAAAAATTCCTGTGGCGTTTGGCTCAGCATTCTATACCTACAGCAGCGCTCCTTAATCATCGCCATATGTCATCAACGAGCGCATGCTATTTTTGTGGTGTAGAGGATACGTGGAGGCACACAATGCTTAATTGTTCAGCAGCAAGAAGTACTTGGGCACTGTCTACAGATGCAATTACTGAACAGTTGAGTACAAACGTTGATGATGATGCAAAACGTTGGTTGTTTGCTATGCATGATTCGCTTGCACATGCCGAGTTCATCACCTTTGTAGTGACTCTTTGGGCAGTGTGGGGAGCGCGACGGAAAGCAATATACGAGGACATCTATCAAAGCCCATTTGCTGTCCATAGCTTTGTGCAACATTACCTAGGGGAGCTGCGAGCAATCCAACCCAGGGTGACTCAGGTGCCTGTTTCATCCCCGAACAGGCCAACACAGTGGATCGCGTCGTCTGTTGGGCTAGCAAAATTAAATGTTGACACTGCTGTTGGGAGAGGAGGATCATATGGAGCCGTCGGTGCCATTCGCAGAGATCAAACCGGTATGTTCCTTGGTGCATCAGCAGTGGTTTTCCCAAATATTTCTGAGCCGGCGACTCTTGAATCACTGACCATCAGGGAGGCGTTGGCCTTAGCAGATGATTTGTACTATAGGAGCATTCAAGTGGCGTCGGATTGCAAAGTGGTAGTGGACGATATACGACAGAAGAACCCAACGCTCTACGGGGCGATCATACATGAAATCATACACTGGAAAACTCTTTTTACTTTCTGTAATATTATCCATGAATTTAGGACCTCGAACGTCGAGGCTCACAAACTCGCGAAGCACGCATTATCCCTAGAGTCTGACCGCCATGTTTGGTTAGGTCAGCCCAATGATCTTCATTTCGTCCCTGTAAACATTGTGACGATTAAATAAAAATCTTCGGAGTTTGCCTAAAAAAAATGTATGTGGTTACAGAGATTGTGGAGCTGCCAAAAGAATGACACTCCCGGGTTTGAAAGATTAACCGAAGGTAAAACAAGGCCAGACACGCTATGGCTGCCATTGGTCGTGG